ATACCATGCGGTTTTCCAGCTTTTAACACATCCATCACATAATTTCCCCAAAGATTTAGACAAATGTGTCGAATACATATGGATTCCTATTGCTAGAACACAAACAGTATTTTCAAACGTGTGAATAAAAAATGTGAGTAAACTGTCCGTGATCCTAAGTGCCACGGCATGCAGTAAAGGTAAAGCTCCATCCTTGACTTTAAAGGCTACTGCATAGCAGATGCTATCTTTCCTCCTTCACCCCACTTCCTCACCCCGCAAGTCTCAAGATTACAGTAACGAACAGTAGTCAGTTTTACACTCCATCACACAGCTATAAGGTATATGCCCACAGCAACCATTGCAGAGGAGACAGGGTAGCCCTCAGACGCAACACAGATGTGATGGTTTATAAAAATATATTATCCCCGCCCCTGCTGGGAATTCAACATCAGTCATTAAGCTTGCAACTAGTCATTTTACTGACCTGACTCACTCAGCACAAAGATAATTTTTCTTAGGTTTCTCCTCCTAAGTATACCCCTCAGAATATCAATGAAGTCTTTAGCCTCATCTAAGAAAAGGATTCCTTCTTTTTTTAAACAGTTACTTCTACATCTATACAAATAACAATGTTACCAACACATTATCCTTGTTCTTGATTCCCACACAATCAGTGTGTGTGAAGTTGTGGTACAATTTTTTTGCTTGGGTATGTTCTAATAATTAATGCTAACCATACATAAAAAATAAAAAGCAAAAAGGAAAGAAAGAAAGAGAAACTGTTGAAGTTTACCTGTTTTTAAGTGAAATTCAATGTGAAACCCGTTTGCTGGTGTCATATCTCGTCAGTATTTTAATTCATGTCACAGCCATGTGAGAAAATCTGGAGTTTAATGACTCAAGAGTCACTTAATATTACTTGTTTAAGAAGTACCACAACCAAAGTTTGACAGAGTAAGATATGGGGAACAAGGTGACAAAGGTTTTGTATATCTTCTTCCAATTCACTGCCGTGGAAATGTTAATTTACATCAATATAAAGTTTCTGCATGGGGAAGTGGGTTCCTATTATGCTGAGATTACTGTACTGTATTTAATTTGTGGTAACAGAAAGTTTCAACATTTCCACACATTATTTACCAAAGTCTAATAGAACATTTCCTAGCGGCGGACTGGAAGAGGTTAAACATTGATCTCCAAATTTCACTAAGCTATGTTCACCTACAGGTCGATGTAAAACAAGTTCTGCCAAGAATGAAAATCAATGATACGGAGATTTTGAAGTAAAGAATCAACGACACGTGGGGGTAAGAATTTGAATGCCAAAAGGGCATAAGCAGAATAACAAATCATGTTTTCATTAAATTTAACAATTTTCATAGTTTCTCTTCCAATCTGTGTTTCAGTCATGTTTCTAGCATTAACTGTTGTCACTAAACACGAAAGACTGTACTTTACTTTACAGACACACTGTACTTGTGCATGATTCTGTACAATGAAAGGGATAAGGCTGAGAAATCTGATTTTGGTTGTACTGCGTAACAATATTTTCTTGTGAGTAACTGGAAGCAAATTACAAATGTAATCAGTTTTAACCTGCAGGATAGTTCTTTGGATAAATAATTAGAGGCGGTAAAATTCATCTTACCACATATGTGAAAGTGAACCTGGAGTGACACAGCTTGAGATGCTTCAGAAGAGCATATAAGGAAACACAATCCAGTGAACACCAGGGGCAGTGTAGATCCTCGCAGGCTTCCGTCTGCTGTCGGCTATTGTTATTATAGAGGAACTGATAAACTATTTGCAGCCTCTGTGGCTCCTCCACCTGGCACACCCTTCCACTGCTCCCAGTGGCAGTTATGGTGGTGCCATTTGTAATGCTGCCACTGCTGCTGTTACCATTACTAATGTTCATGTTGCTGCTGTTGTTGTTGTTGTTGTTATTGCATCGCTCTGTAACATGAAAAGGGTAATTACTAACTGAAATGAAATTTCTACAGTGACAAATTTTAAGTTTTTAGAAATATTTTAAACTTATTTCTGAGCACCATATATTGGTACATATTATGGGGCATACACTTTCAGAACTTTCAAAATGGAATAATTTCCATTCACAACTAAGTAGGATTTGACGTCCTTGTGGTTCTCGTAAAAATGGCGGTCTTTTGGGTTGAAGCACAATGCAATCTGGTAGAAGTTTACCAATGTTTCAGAGGCCCTTGTGGCCTCCATCATCTCTTTTGAATAACTGTTCAACTATCATTTTATGTCATGTTTGCAACCTTGTGTAGTGACTATTAAAAGTGCTCTGTCCAGCTGTCTGTATGCATAAAACTTAAGAATGGCTGCAAGGATTTTCAATAAATGTTATGTTCGGGATGTTGAGCCATTTCAATTTTCCCTTAATTTTAATTACCACTTTTATATAGAGTATAAATACTTTCTTGAGCTTATTCCATTACATAGAGAAATATGTTAATCAATACCACAGCATATGGGCCCAAGTTTACCATCAGTATGCAAACAACCCATTGATGTAGTGTAAATAAGTAGCACTTCCTTTTTCCTTTAAATTATTAGGAATTCATTTAGATTTTGATGAAGCAAATAAAAAGAATTACATTTACAATTCCAGTAATACAATTAAGCCAAAGAAAAATCAATTACTCAAAACACTTTACTCTCATCTGAGAGAAAAGTAATTGACTCCAGACACATCTGATGTCACCATTAGGACAGGTCAAAGTTCAAATTCTGGAAAATGTGTCACAATTATCACGTTTCCAACTAAATTCATCCCTCACAGGTACTGAGAACTTCATTTCTAAACATCTGCACATTATGTCCTTCCCTCTAAGTAAGAGACAATGTTTCACACCCACACAAAACAAATAGCAACATTACTATTTTACAAATAAAAATTCATTATTTAATACTGTGTTGGAAAAAAGATGGGATAAGATTCTGAAGTAAGTAATAATAACAAAATTTGCTGAAGTTATCATTCTTATTCACTTCATCACAAACCCTATTTCTGTTCATTGTTTTGGTTCTCAAATAACCTGTTCACAAGCTTCACAGTTATGACAGAACATTCAAACAAGAAGATGGACTTTATTTCCTTAACACCACTATTAAGCTTACCTATGGAAAACTGGTGTCATGCAAGCCACATGAAGCTGTAATGTGAAAGTCATCACATTTAAATATATGTAATTTCATGACGTTATGATGAATGATATTTTGCAAGGGGCCAAACTAACACACCAGTTTTATTTAAGTGCACTACAGCAGACTGTCTCCTTTATGTATTGCAAACTGACACTGCAAAAGGCTAAAATGAGGGCATTTACAGAAGCTAGCTGGCAACAGACAACAAACACATAAAAATGTAAAGATAAATTAATACTATTTCTTTCTGAGGAAAACACCTTAACAATTCAGTCTTTGCTTTGACTCATTCGCATGCTGAAAATAATTCCTAAGATCGTCTCACATTAATATTCTCTCCTGACAAATCACTGTTTGTCAAAAGTAATTTCCTAAAACTGTCTCAGTACTATTCCGCCCTGACAAGCTACCTCAATACACAAGCCAGAAGGATAAGCATGACTCTTATTTTTCCCAAAGGCCAATCACATATCAACCATTGGATACAGGTTGATATTATATATTTGGGAGCATCTCCAGCATTTACAGATATCGAGAAAAAAAATATAACAGCATAAGCTGTGTTCAATACTGTAGTTTCCATGTTCCTCAAACCAATGCAAACTACTCCATACAATGACACCCACAAAAAAGACAAATAAACTTCACTACCTTATCACATTAACACAAAATAATAATTTTCTTTATACATTTGTAACAATTCCTCCATTTCCCTCATATATCTTCACAGCATGCTGCTTAAACACAGACAAATATGAACTGTACTGTAGTCGGCTTACCAGGTCTGTTCTCCTTATTACTGCTAGAATCCAGTGAATGGTCTTGAGGGCAGAGAGGTTTTGGCCGATCTACTAGTCCATTACTGGGTTCAGTTGTCCAACTAAGATGGAACTTTAGGGTTGGACCTTTACTGAACACTTCAAATGGACCACATTCCTATACAGAAGAATTACTGCATCTGGACTTCTGAATTTATACTTATAATCTTATGTACAAACACATTCGAGATATAAACAGAATTATGACTTTCATTAAGAAAGATAACTGAAGCAAATACTGCTGTTCAAAAAAGTGTTACATATTCCAATATCACACACCCACTAGTAAGATGAATACTCTTTTCCAGAAGGCAGAAAGTTAAAAGTAAAATATTTCTGTCTTCACTGCCATTTTACTTCATTACTAGTTTACTTTAATTTGTCAAGGAAATGCAATACCCTTATGAAATCACCACAATGTTTGGTGTATGCCCCCTTTCTTCACTTCCTAGCAATATCAAGATGTATGCACATTTAAGGTGAGAGCAACACTAAGGTCCCTTCATTTAGGGTCCTTAAATCTTGTACATTTGTGGTTCAACAATATTATCAGTAGAGAAGACTACAAAGCATCAGATGATTAATAATGATCTGGAAAGGATATGGAAGGAAACTCTGATATAATAGCCAGTCTGAGTGAAAACTGAGTGCTAACCACTTGCCAATACTGGCTAATAAAGGTTCATGACATTGTCATTAGTTCTGATTACATAGCATCAAATTACAGGATGAGTAATAAATTGAAAAGAATATGGAATGAATGGGTCATGACCTAATTTAATATACTACCCCTTATATGCCTACAGGGGCTGGGGAAAACCACAAAACCCCTCAGAACAGCCATTCCCTGGGCCAAGATCTTAACTCAGGGCCTTCTGAATACGAAACAGGAAAGCTAATCACAATGTCTCACTATCATATAGTGTAGGAACTCTGTACTACATGAGCCGGGATAGCTCAGTCAGTATAGTGACTAGCTACGGGCTGGACGACCGGGGTTCGATCCCCGACGGGGGCAAAGGATTTTTCCTCTAGCCTCTGCGTCCAGACCGGCTCTGGGGCCCACCCAGCCTCCTCTACAATGGGTACCGGGGTCCTTTCCCGGGGGTAAAGCCGGCCGGGGCGTGATGCTGACCACTCACCCCCATCTAGTGCCGAGGTCAAGGAAGAGAGGAGCTATACCTCCACTCCCCCCAAGCGCCTACATGGCGTATAGTGGGACAAACTTTACTTTACTTTACTTTACTCTGTACTACAGTGATGCCACCTTGCTGCCAACCTGAAGACTCTTTTATGACGCATTATTATCAATTTTTTCAAGATATTTTCACTTTATTTATGATTTCTGCAATTATCCGTCATACGCCTCAAATAACCAACTGCTGAGAAAGTAGCCTAATTTCTAAATAAAGTATGACACACCAAAGTCCAAATTCTCTTATTAAGACGCATGCTGGGATCTTTAATGTAAAATTTGCAAGAGGAAAAAGCTGATGTTAAGATAAATGTGGCAATAATAATAGAAAGGGATCTAATTTTGGATGTGCATTCATAAAAGAATGAAAACCGCTTACTTCCTTTATTTCACCAATACTTTCCCAGGAGGAGAGTTTCTTGGGTGAACCCTTCACATTAGCCTGCACTTCCTGGAGTACCAATTCATAATCTCCGTCAGTCAGAAGGCAACGATTATGTTTATCATAGACAATCAATTCAGAGCCAAACAACTTTGTCTCCTCCACCGTTCCCTTCAGTGGACCTGATGACTTCCTCCTCTTCTGCGCTGGTTCTTAACATAAAATCACTTAATTAAAACCCAATGGTCCAATAATATCTGGTTGGCCACTAGTTTACAAACTGAATAATGTGGACTCTCAGGAAGGCAGGAAAGAATTTGTAGTATGTTTCTCATCTACTAATATTTATATATGCTGCAAAATGTTTAAAAATTCATAATACATTATAAAATCATAAATTTATTAAAATATTGAGAATTCTTGTTCTTCACTAGAGTAAATTAAATCTAAGACAATATATTATAAAACATATTCACAGAGACATTAAAATTCATGGCATGCTGTCCATCTACTTAAGTTTCCACATACAGTAATCAGTATATCTCAGGATACTTTATCATAAATAAAACTGCACATAAAAAATAAAGAATTCAATTTTTTATACTGACAAGCCACAAATTATCATGCTAATGATATGAACTTCATACATGGTAAATAGACAAGAAGCAATCTTTCCTTTTTTTTTTAATGTGCATCAGATTAAAAAAAACTTAAAAAATTGTTTGCTGTAAATGAAGAAAAACCTGTAATACATATGGGGCATATAAGACAAAACTGTTAAGGCCAACAAAACAATAACCACTTCCTAAAAAGTAAGATGCAGGGAAATTATGTATTAAATGCAACAAAATACTATAGCACTTCACATCTTAAAGAATAATTTTATATTATCACACTCACCCATGTCTACATCTCCGTTTGGCATGAGTAAACCATTTGACATACACGACACTCGTAAAAGTAATACATATGATTTGACCAGATGGCCGTTAGACAGATTAAATGATTCTGTTGGTATTGATATTGTTGGAGCTTTCGGAGGAGGGTGGTCTTCGGACGGATTAATAGGCACCTCGCTTGTGCCCACCGTCATCTAAAAATGAAAAACATAAATTCTTTTTAAGCTTGTTGTGGGAAAAACTAGTTTGGACAACTAAAGCTATATAAAATTAATCCACCAAAACAAAAATATAACACATAAATACCAAAGTGTTGACACTCAAACAGGCATGATTAGACACTACACACCCACCAGTACAGCCCTCTAGGGACATAAATGGGGCCAACCAACAAAAATTGTATAACTCGCTAAAATCCAAAAATGCTAACAATATACACAGTATGTAAATGGAGCTCAAACTACTGCACTGTCTGACTACTAAAGAACTTCCCGTTCTTTATTAAGAGAAAATATTGGCATACTAACCTGCATTATAGGAGATGACACATCTTTCCTCTTCTTGTGACAAATTTTAAGCAGAAGAGTTTCTACTTTTACTGGTTCTTGATGGGTATCCACTTAAAAGATAAGATAAAAATAAAAACCTCAAACATTCTCTTAGTTTAAGCCCACAATATGAATTGCATTTGTAAAGTTATTACTGACATCATGGACAACTGAGAAGAAAGGAGAAAAAGGAAGTTACCTTTCTTATCATAGAATCCAAGGAAAGTGAGGGTCATGTACCCTTCAAGATTACCAGGTCGAATTTCTCTGTTCTTCATGTTAATTCTGTCCAATAAACAGTCAACTTTAAATCCCTTACGATGTTTATGGGAGCGAGACATACGTTGTTTCATGTAGCTGAGAGTCCTGTTCAAAAAAACAGGCTGGGAAAAGAAAGAGGTATATAATTACAATGAGTAAAATCACCAAAGATATAGACAATTTATTATTATAAAAACTGTCTACAATTACAAATAATTTATTTGATAAAGAAATCCTTGCATTTTATTTCATTCTCGTGATATATAATCCCTTCATAGTTATTCATACCATATAAAAAACTACAGTACTAACCGTTCTGTTTTGCCAGACTACCATATTGCATAAGAAAAAGAATTTTCTGAGTCCCTCTTACTGAACCATATGGTAGATACTCAATTCAGTACAAAGGTTAAGCCATTCAAAGACAGTCCACAATCATATGTACAGAGAAACATAAAAAATTAGTCAATTTTATTTAATTTTTGGCAAAATCATACAGTAGTAGCTACACATATCTTATTTTTCAATAACTTAAAATGGTGAATTTCAGATGCAATTAAATTCATGGTGGATCTTCAACTGTTCTAGACATGCTTATCAATTTTATCCGTCAATAGTGGCCCAGAATGCACTGAACCCACTACAGGACACTGGACCCTATTATAACAAGATATTACCCCTAAAAAATATCAGCAGTTAGGTTTTTAGGCATTACTTGACACAATAATGAGAGAAATAATGTATTACACGCTAATCATATTTACCTTACGGCTTTCAAGTCCTGAAGCTCTCATTAAGATTTTAATGAAAGGCTGTAGACACTTCTGAACTTATGAGACAAAGACTGTATTTAAGTAAAAACTTATTGACTATTTCACTGCCATGTATTATTTCACCAAGTATGTTAATATAATGTTTACAAATAACATTCGGTGTAATTCTCCAGTGAAGATTATGTACAACCCTAATTTAGATCCATATGTAAAAGAGCAGTGCAAAGAATTTAATTTGTATGTATCAAAATCATTTCAGATTTACTCATCAAAATTAATTATCAATATGTAAAGATTTTATTAATAGTTTCATATATATTTCTAAAATGGCACAAAACAATGATCCTGTTGCACTCACATTTCGTGTTACTTGAATAGGATATGCACATGCACTCATATATCAACGTTCCAAATCAACAGCCACTGCTTCAGTGTTAAAATATATTTATGAAGAGTACTTATATTGTGAGAAATTAGATGAATACCCATTTGTGATGTTATACAGAATCAGATTGTGCGGAACACTGTAACTTCAAACCCTGAAATACGAAAACAAGGAAACTTACCGACAGCATGTTCCTGGTCCGCAGAAATCTGTAGATCTGTGTTGGTTCTATACAGAAATAAAACACAACAAATAACATAATAAGAAGATTACTACAAACTTCTTCTACCTGACTTGAAGCAAAAAAATTAACTTATTCTTACACCGCTAATCTTTAACTACAAAAAAATTCAGTTTTAAGGGAAACATCCTGTTGTGTGTTGATTGTTATGCCGAAGTCCATCTACACAACAATTTTTTACTTTAGTCTTAATGTTTATTAAGAACCACTACATGTTTTGACATAAATTGGTCATCTTCAGGTGGTTCCAAGTGGTATTTTTATTAGGTACTTCAAACAAGATTTTATGCTAGCTAAGTCTACTACACCAAGTTTCATTAAAATCAGTTCAATGGTTGGGGCACTCTTACAATCTAAGAATTTAATGTGGACAGGCAAACATGACAGAACTAAAAGGTGATTTTCAACATAAGGAATAAGATTATGCACTTTATCTGCAAGTATGGAAGACATTTATTCCAGCCACAATCATTGTGGGTTTTTACAGTGAAGGTCTGTTAATGTTATATTTTATGCATAGAAGCTGCTATTAATTATATTCACACTCAGCAACGTTTGTAGAAGGGTAGGTGTCTTATGCAATGGCATATATCAGAAGTGACAAAACCCAGAAAGTGATATTAAAAAACTGATGTGTTCATGATATAAATTATTCAGCTCTTTGTACTATTACTTATATAAGTGGCAATGGGCTCGACAGATTGGAGTTCAACTCCTGGCAAGGACTTCTACCTTTGTCACCACTGCCAGACCTGACCTGGGGCCCACTAAACCTTTTATCCAATGGGTACAGGGGGTACTCACTCCAAAGACTAGATTGTGTGGTTTTACCTCCACGCCCCCTGTGGTGCATAGGCTCAAACAAGCCTTTATCTATAAGGTAATAATTTTATTTCAAGTTTAAGTTCCAAGTTGCGTATAATTCCGGATGTAGTTGGAATATTATATGCCCCACGGCCGCGCGCGTGTATGTGTATGCACGTAGATAGGTGTGTCTCCAGCAGTGAAAACAAACATTGTAGCATCGTTACTTCCTTATCGAATCCTTGTGGCAAACTCAAATCTCATATCCTCAATGCTAATTTTATTCTTCGAATACTGTAAAGTGTCGTCTTCCTGTTTCTGAAAAGTGCCACGTAATAGTCCCATGCGGAAATTACTGGCCAATGAACCAGTCGCTACGAGAATGTTAGTTGTGTCTGACCTTGAGTAGCTGCCAACGCATTAGCAATACTTCAACCCCTCAAAAGATGGCGATATACTAAATATCACGGATTGTTTCACTTGGTTTGCTATTATTACTGCAATTACACATATAAATTAATGATGGATATACAAGGCACGTGAGCATAGTTTATTACATCTGAATAAACTCGCATTAATAAAGCACTCTCAATACAAAATCATAAATTTAAGGCTGCTGTTTTGGAACATGCAGCCAATTTGATACACAAGACCATAAAGTAAGCACCAGGACGCGAATACATTCGATCCTTCTAAGGTAAAATGGGAGATGATGATTTGGAAAACCACATAATTATATGTGAAGCCTGAACTGTTATTGTTACGAACACTCAGGTTAATTCCATCTGATCCCATTAATGAGCATAGAAGTTCATTAGTACGAAATTAGTATCGAAAAGCTGAGTCATTCGGCTAAAATTACGAGGCTCATTCCAAAATTCACAAGAATGTGCCACATACCCCCAGGTTAAACTTCCTTCAAATTTTAATTCTAATCTTCAGGCTTCTGAGACAAACATTTTACACATTTATCTTCCTTGTGCATGCTACAAACCCTGCCCATCTGATCATGTAAATATAATCATCAGGGTGATGAGTAAGATGGAAGCAGAAATAACCTCCGAAATGTCAGTAAATTTCTACCAGACTACATGGTGCAACAACCCAGAAGAGAGCCATCTTCAGTACCAAATATATAAAAATAGATACATTTAATAACAATTATAAAAAGCATAATAACTATGTAATTTGTATTAGAAATAAGTATTGTACATGTGATATGACATGTTCCACATTCTTACCTTGGGCCTATGAAGGAACTATGGAACATAAAAAAATTCTATTCTAACAACAGAAATTAAATTGTGTACAGAGGGCTCAACATCACTAAGTGAAAACATGTTACCTGTTTAAATAAATATCTGTAAATCAATACAAACAGTAATTATTGTCAATTAATCAATATGGTAATGCCTGAACATAAATCATAAATTATGCAGCTCCTCATACTAAGTTTGGAAACAGTGGCTGTTAAATCTGAAATTTTAAAAATAATGAATATAGGTGTCCCAAAAAGATGTATACACATTATAATACAGAATATTAACCTTGTGTATATACATTTTTGGGACACCCTCCAGAGTTGAATTTATTTACATTCCAGATCCTTCACAGGTCTCAGCAAAGGGTGTAGAACATGTCACAGCACAAATAAAATACTTGTTTCTAATACAAATATAAACTAAAAAGTTATGACAGTGATTTACATACAGCAAAAGTAAATTACATAAGAAAGCATCACCATTATTGCTTACATGTATTTATAATACTTGAGAATTTTTTGTTGGGGTAAATTATTATTTGGAGCAGGAGTAGGATGGTGCTGGCTTAAACTTCTTTATATTGTGGTTCAGACTTCTGGGGTTTTTTGGGGGGGGAGGGGAGATTACTGAATATCTGAATCCCAGTGAAGTAAACTTTTTTTAATATTTACTGATGTTAGGGTTTGGCACATAAATGTTATATTTGTATCTGGTACCTGTATTTTGGAAACATGCAATAATTCTGTATAATAAATTCACATTCTTTTTAACTAAAAAACATTCTTAGCAGAAAATGAAAACCAAGAGACACTGGAAACAATGCAATGCACATCCAAGGTAATAATAACAAATGTCACAAAGATGAATTCCTTTCATCACAATTTGATTTGGTATATTGCTTGGCCTGACAACCATATACAACTACATCATATACCTAAGACTATATCAGGAAGGTGGATGAGTCAGTCATAGGACAGGTATTTGAGTTTTCACAGTATGCATTAGTCTGAATTGAAGAGGTTAAATGAGTGATGTGACTACACCCATCATTATGTCACTAATAATGTTAAGTTACTTTACTTTAGATCATGTTAGCATTTTTTAATAATCTAGTAATGTTTACAAATAGCGTCACAGTGTTCACATAGTGTTCAGTGAGCAATCAACACCTTTTTTATATACTATATCCAAACTTTAAAATGTTGAATTGTGTAATATCTGCAAGACCAAATTATCTTCACCATTTGATTTATAACGAGTTATCAACCAAGAATGGAGTATTGGACATGGTACCTACAATGGTTTACGATCAATGCAACAGGATCATTTTTTACTTTGATAAGGTATTGGGAGCATTAAATGCAACAGTGGATACTGGATTATTTAACCTGGACATGGGCACTTATATTGTTGGAATTATCTCCCCTAAAACCAAAGTTACAAAATCACAAGAAACTAAATATGTGCTTACATTATGACTCTTTTGCTAGTAATCTATGGCCATTTGTTTACTAAACTCAAATATCTCAATTTTTAATACATACAAATATGAAAGTATTCAACATTGAAAATTATCAACAGTAAATGGATAGGCCATAAAATTAGTAAATGCTACTTGTAACTAAAAGCATAACACGGCATTCTAACATAATTTATTTAAATTCGAATAACACATGGCATCACAATCACAATATGCTAGTTGAAGATGTCATAAATAAAATTACGAAAATTCAACCACACCAGTTTTGTGAAAAGATTATCATATCTATACATTTTGTTCAGCCTGCTAAGAAACCTTTCTGTACTCCATCGGATTAAAAAAAAGGTGCGTTCTGCGAAAAATGTAACTACAGCGCCATGCACATTATGAAAAACTCAATATATTTCGAACTTCCAACTATAAAATATCTTCAATTTATTTGCACGCAACTGAACAAACGGTAAAATCGTGCGTGAACCTTAGAACAACGATGTACGTTAAACCATTCACTGCATACCAATGAACATCAACCTTCTCATTTACAAACTATGCACAAAAACGAACTGCCCCTAGCTTACTTCTGCCATGAACTCCTGGACAAAGCTACTAGGTGCACTGAAAGAACGCTCAGAATGTGGTTATTACAAGTGGAATAAGGGTTCTACTTACTTTCAAATGCTTGCAGAAATAATTCATGATCCGCCTGTATCTGATCCATTCTTGTATTTTTAGATGTTTCAGGCTCCTTTTCACGTTTCTTTGGTGGCATTTTCCTTTCAAAAATTTCACTTCCCCCAAAAAAAAATTACCCAAACCCGCGAACCCCACAGACCACTTACCCACCGGTCACTCACCACAGGACAGGTTAGCCAACATAAAATTGAAAATACACATACCTATTCAACTCAGAGGGGCATGCTGATTGCATTGGCTGCTTTGATTCCTATAGCGCGAGCTAGTGGTAATGTTAGGTATCACATTTTTAAAGCGGGAAGAACAACATGAAAAAAAAAAGTTAACATAAAAATATGTTTGATCCGTTTTCCCAAAAAAATTCTGCAGTAGATATTTATTCATTAAATGAGAAAAAGACATCTCAAAAATGTACATGTTTAGTCAGGGCAATTAGGATGAACTCAATGATTACTTCGTTATGCAGCTTGTATCCCGAGAATCTTTCTTCAGTTACCACAAAAGCTTCACTTTATACCTGGTTATTTGTTAAAAACTACGTTTCACAGACATCCAGTCTCTGAAACTTTCTCCATAATCTTGGTTTTAACAAATATCCAATACTATTGACAATTTCCAAATATTCAACTTAACTACACCATCATCAGAAAACTTTACTTACCTTAAACAAGCAGGCTGTTGAACACAGTTCCAATTATCCACAAAAGTCTTTGGAATATACTTGCAGAACATATACCATCAACAGATACATTACATCAGATCCATAAGCAACTGATTCCTCATGTGGTTATTACCATTGTATTTACCTCACAACTGTGATAAAGTTAACCATAGTAAGCTGAGATGATAAAACCAGCTACAAAACTTCTTCAGTTCCAAGATGATTAAATGAATAATCATACCTTCAGATTCATAACAAGAACTACACAATAGTATGATTTTGTTAATGTATCATACTTTACTATTAGGTTTGTTATTTAAGCCTGACATATTTCCCTCTTGCTGAAAGAATAATGGAGATATGATAGAGAATTCAAATACAAATATTCATGCCTTCAGAGAGAATCCAAACCATAGGTAAATTTTTCAAACTGCAAGTTACGTACAAAAGGAGAAACTCTGACATTGGTTTAACACAGAAGAAAATGTCCTTTTTACCTGGTAATTAAAAGTGTATCCAAAGAAGAACAAACTCCTTCATATAATGGAGAATGGGTAACTAGTAATTGTGAAATGATAAAAGATATGTATAAATTAAAACAACGAGAAATAAAGGATCTCAATTAACAACACATATTATATTTCCATTTTATTACATATGCACTTAAAACAGCATAATTTTTAAAATATTCACAGATATATTTCAGTTCCACCATCTACTATAATGAATCCAATACAAGAAATGCACACTGCATTTCTCTGAAGTGTCTAAGGAGAAAGCAAGTAAGAAATATGATACTTATTACGAGGTGAGTACAAAATCCAAATTATGCAGGCCTTCCAGTCAAATGATTGACTACAATGACAACAGTTTGCCATCGAGATGCTTGACCATATTGATCAGAACCCCAATTACCATGTTTTCAGATGAAACAACCTTTCATACCTGTGGTAAAGTGAATCGCTGCAACATATGCATCTGGGGATCAAAAAACCCCACACAGCGTTCAGGAACATGTCAGGGACAGCAAAAAGGTCAATCTTTGTTGTGGAATGATGAAAGACAGAATTATCAGAATTAATGTGCCCTTATTCAATGATCCAACTGTAACTGGGAACATTTACCAGATGCTTAAACAATTTGCCCTCCCTCAGCAACGTAATGTAACTTTCCAGAAGGATGGTGCACCACCGCACTGGAGTTTGGGCATGCACGAGAGGAGCTGCATGAATGATACAGGCTTTGAATTCAATGAGATAAATTATGACAACGTAAACTTGCAATCTCCTCACTTTCAGTCACTGCATTCTTCATTTGCTGGGCTTAAGACATGTGTATCACTGAATGCTCGCAGCTGTGTTAGATCCCTGAACATTACTGTGGGTGAGTTGAAGCAACTTGACCTTCAAGTTGTCCAGAATTGTTAGAAATCTAGAAGAGAAAATAAAGTAAGATACAGAGGGGAGTCAAGATACAGCAACACTCATTCTTGACCTTGGTAGTATATGGACGTGAGGACTTAGTTTCATGTACAGTCCATATTATTCCTGGAGAAAGTGGCCCCAGTACCCATTGGACAGAAGGTTGCGTGGGCCCCAGAGCCAGTTTGGATGCAGTAGCTGAAAGAGAAATCTCTTGCCCCTGCTAGGAATCGAACCTCAGTTATCCAGTCTATAGCCTCAATACTGACACTACTGACTGATACACCCCCTGCCTCCTTATCAGGCACCAAAGAAACATTTTCATTTGTATACAACAAGATGTGTACATTTCAACAAAGCAAACTGTAAATATGTGTTTAAGGAACTTGTTTTCCATACAATTAAATTTCATAACAGAGAGTTAGTTGTAAATAGCAAGTGTTTTGTAAACTGAAAATTTAGTTTTTTAAATTAATAATTCACTATACTTTGAAACAACTACAATCTAAATTCACCTGTGCTGCATATGATATCTGTCTTGTGGTGTTTCACGCTGCCTGCTCAAGTCCTGACTGAGGCTGGAACAAGTAGTGCTACAGAGATCTGCCTTGTGCTTATCAGCTAGTTGCACTGTGTTACTCATGTCCAAACTCAGCTCCAAGTCAAATGACAATTCTGAATTGTTCCCAGCCACATGGAGACTAGATGTATCTGCCTTCACGGGTGTCAATGATAAGCACATCTGATTTGCCATGTACTGTGGTGGGAATACACTGCTACTCCTGTCAGTTACATTGCACTCTTCTTGAGAAGAATGTTGAATATCATCTGTGAAAATTTTTTTTTTTTAAAAACTTGGTAACTTAAACACAAGTTCTCTTCATAATACCAACTTTTCATTTGACTATTGATTTAGAAGTTATGTTCCTTACCCTCATTGGTATTATGAACAAGGGACAAGTGTTATTATTCAAAAGCTTTAATTCAAATAATGATAATTTTATTTCAGAAGTGTGTGTATATCATGTAATGTCGAGTCACATGCCGGAATATACCTTAAAGTTTATTTATTACTTTATTAAAGTGACCACAAATATCTATTAAGAATGCCAGGTCACATGTCCAACTTACATCTTTAAAGAGTTTGATGTACGATATTTTAACATTATACATTACAAAATCAGCAGCAAATTTATTATATGTACTGAAGAACTATACTATATTCTTACTAAATTTGGTATACAAAGGAACCTCATTAGGCTGATAAAACTTTTTTAAAATGAAACCAATAGTAAAGTTACATTAAAAAAATTAACAGCCTAGTGAATGACTACGGAATGGACAAAAGCTTTGCCGAGAACTGTTAAAAGGCTACAAGAATGAAAACATTTGCAAAAATTTGCTACTAAGAACAAGACATGTTCTAGTTTAAATATAGGTCTTGACAACAAATTAATTGAGGAAATGGAAACAAATAAATTCCTTGGCATACAAATTGACAATAACATAAACTGGAAGAAGAAACACACTGAATATGTTATTCCCTAAACAAGCTCTGCATGCTTTGCCATGATGACAGCAGATAATTTAAAATTAGTTTACATTACCTACTTCCACTCTGTATTGTCATATGCATTAATATTTTTGGAAAATTAAATGCACTATAAAAAACAATTTTACATCCAAAAGAAAATAATTAGAAAAATGGCATGGACTTCCCTCAGCTTCACTAAATAATATAACTCACTTTGACATGAAAGTATATGCAACTGGATCCACATGGTAGTATGCTGTATTTGCTGATACCACTCTCTTAAACCTGCTGCAGTCAAAGTAGTGACTGTAGGTCTGTGTGACCACTCCAAGCCATGTTCTCTTGCTATCAGCTCTGCTGTTAGTTGGATCTGCTTCCCAATCTCCCACAGCACTGTCTAAACAACAGACATGATCTTCAGTACCAACATTTTAAGAATATTATTTTTAGAAGTCATATATTATCTACATTCTCTTCTGCCCTATAACGGCTGAGGCTTAAAAGCACATCTATTTTGTAAATGGACGAATTACTAGTCCCATGCACAACATCCAACATAGAAAACCATTACGGTTACTGACACTACTAATGGTTACAATCTTGAGACTGAAACAGGACATTTACTGGCTTCCCTGCTTGAACCTGAAGAAATAGATGAAGTGCAGAAGACTGTAATTGTAAAAATACATATTTTTGAGTCTGAAACAGAGCCAATTTATAGATAACATACATTATCTTGAGATATAATCTCTATAGCAGTTGTGATAATAATTAAATCTGCCAGGGACAAATTTATTTCTAAAAAGACTGGTCTGTCAATAATATTTTGTGGTTTGCAAAAGTGAGAAATCTGATGACACAATGCAGTTGTATTAAACCTACACTCAGCTCCATTAAACTTTATCATCTTTGTAGTGCATTGTATGCAAGGCCCAGCTTTATGTGTGTTACAGTAGCATACCGCTAAACTGTTAACCACAGAGTTAAATACCAGCTGGTAGTCCCTTAGTATGGGGGTTTAAAATACCTTTTCCCATAAGATAAAGCTTAAACCTGCAGAAATGTCGGGTTTTCTGGTGTTCTATAATATGACTACTTTATCGCTATACTGTCTTTATAAAAATATGTAGTTAAAATATTTGTTCTGCATAGTATTAAAAATTACACCAGCACATCATTCTCAAAATGCATGCCACAGTTTTGTTAAACATGCTTCACTACAAATAATTACATTTGATAGTATATACAATTAAATGCACACACAAATATTTCAGAAAATCTGAAAGAAATAGACCACATGAAAGATAACTGGCATAAATGGAAGGATAATATAAAAAGTGCATCTTAAAAAAATAACGGTGCAGGGTATGCCTTGGATTAATCCGGCCAAGGATAAGGATGAACGATCCCATTTTTATTCCATAAAAGGCAGGGATTTTTTGACCAAATGACTGACTATAAGCATCTGAAGAAGGACTCTACTTCATGAATCACGTCTCTTAGTTAACATAAATACAATCTGTTCTACCTACAGCAGGTTATTCACAAGAGTCAATTTCAGGGGCACTTGAGAATAACCCGATACACTGAAATACATAAACTAATCATTTATATCCCATGTTAATTAAGAAATATGGTAACCTGAATAGTGTGGGTGATTCACAAGAATGAAGTCTACCAGTGCAAACTAAAAATATATAAGTTCATATGAGGTGTCACTCACCTGGTATCCACCATCAATAGAGTGACATAGATCCCGCACTTTGACCAGAGCTCTCCTTAACTGATTCACCTTGGCATTTCGACAGCCAAGCATTTGACGGGCATTAGTCAGCTGGCAGTGGTACTGGGCACGGGAATAGGACAGTTTTGCTCTCAGGAAAGAATTTCTCTGACTGAGGTGAACCATTTGAAGGAACAGTGAGTCCATGCTGACTCGCTCCTCTACCAGGTTGCACTGCCATAATTAAGAAATTATGAATCATTAATGGCATTTCTGTAAAATGTACCTTAATACAATGCATACTAATCTGTTCAACAAGTGGCTAAGTGCAGAATATAATCTTGTGGGTTACAACACCATGCCATGCAATAGGCAATTCTATCTGAAGGTACAACTCTTGCACCTGACTAGAGGGAATGAGAAAAATCATTCTTTATAGTGGAAAAGGGTTTATGGATACCTTGGCATCCTTTATCTGTGAAGATAGATATGCCCTGCGCTCATGTAGCTGTATCACATTATCACGCTCTGCAACGAGTGTCTCCTCCAGTTGCACCAGATGTCTATACAGCATCTGCATCTCTTGCTCTGCATACCCAGATTGCACCACCGACTCTAACACCTCTGCTCTCTGCATACAAACCAAATACACATAAGTAAGGAATCCATCTTCTGAATTTCAATGCACAATATATGTGCATATTCATATATGTTAATAGTCTGAGTCTTGAGGTTATTTAACAATATTGTTTCAACTGCAGCGGTTACATTGCAATGAATGGGATTGTGAGATGATCATGAATGATGGCACAGATCAGAAAGGAGGCTACCATGGTTTATTTGAAGAAACTATCCTGGCATTCTCATGGACAGACTTTGAAAAACTATAAACACTTCAGTCAAAATAGCTGGTAACAATCACAGTGGTAAAACTAGGTACTTCTCGAATATAAGTCTATAGCATTACTACTTCATCAACCTCAAAACATAAATAATTTCAATAATATTTTAAGAGATGCTAACAGAAATTAAAATTAAATAAATTTTACTTTAGTGCCTTCATTCTTCCCAAGGTTACATACTCAAAGGCTAGAGAGGTTATTTCACCAATTTCTAACCTGTCTGTGTTCCTCTGTAGCCAAAACTTCCCCAAATTTAGTTTCATTTTCTTTAATCTGGTAATCATGGCCTGTCTTCTGCTCAAAAACTCTCGTTATTGATGACTGCATCTCTCTTGTCAGCGTCTCCAACAGTGAAAGCATGCTCTGTAACAATTACATGCCATACTAGTTGTAAACTCTGTTGAAAAGCAATGACAGTAAAGTACTGCCTTGCTTCAGACAATTCTTAATAAGTTTAGGAACAACAGAGACTACAGAAGATAGCAGATTTATTCCAGGCTGATAGATGTTAAATATGTGAAACTTTACTATAGCCATTCCTCTTCTTTTCTTCTCTCATTTTGAGAATCATGATGTGGTTATCAGTAGAAAACATTTCATGTTTGACACCACTTATTCTGTCGTATTAATTAATATACTGCGAGCCAGGACAGATAACTGAACACAGCAGAAAACAGAATTGAGGAATAGTGAAATATACAGTAACTCTATTAATATTTTATTACACATAGTGTATCAGCACAAACACATACATCTCACAGAACATGCAGTAAGTAGAAAATCAAGGTACAAGGTTACAGACACTTCCCTTCCAGAAAATATATTCAAACATGCAAAATACATTCCAGCATAATTCAGCTCAGTAATGTACATTAGAATGCAGAACATTACTTATTCTAGTAACTTTAAGTGTGTATTTTTTAAACCCTACTCTAAGGCACAAAATTAATTGCCATCCTTCTTTATAATTTCATGGCTCAGAACCAAAATCAGGTTTCAGTCAGAAAGAGTTGGTAACTACAACTCAAACAGTTCTCAGATTTGTCTTAGGCTGGCTGTAGACTCTTCCAGTGACCTTCACTTTGGACACACGTGTTATATACTCCTTGCTCTTCAAATTCTCAGTGTTGGCTACATCATCGCCCAGAACCCACTTCTCAGGATTCTTCAGACCTGATGGCTCATCACTGTATGCTGTCGGAGGTGGTATGGTCAAAAGCCCAATATGTTCTTCAAAGGGTGCATTCTTGGACTCATTCTGCTCACTGCCTGATGAATAATCAAAGGAAGATTCATTCTCAGGGAAGTCTGGAATCACCACTCTAAGTTGAGAAAATTGGGGATGAGGTGATACGTAAGGCTGCAAGTCAGGAACGACAAGCCTCAGTGATTTTAAAGTACTCGACTCTTGTTGCCTTCCATTGGAGGAAAATGGTGATGGAATGCGCAATTTGTTTTCTTGGTAATTGTGATCATTATTATAGGAATTGACATTCTGTAGCTGTGTATTGGAGTTGGAACGTATTTCAGGATTGTAAAGAAAAGTACTAAAATATGAATCAGGATACTTCTGAATGTTTTCAAGATTGGGAACAGAAGTGGTACTGGATGCTGTAGACTCCAATGCTGAGGAACTGCCACGGTATAAAGAACTGTAATGAGTTTCAAAAGGTGGGTCTTGTATTTCGTCTTTATCATTATGATGTACTTTTTGTGATGGACTTGAAGTCAGAGATTTAGTAAAGGGCGTAAATTTCATTGCCTTATTATCTTTTACACTTTTTGACTTTGTTGAGGTAAAAGTAAGAGCCTGTCTTGCATCCTCAGATGAGAGTCCTTGTGGGTAGACAATGCCAACAAATGATGGTTCTGGAGGTAAGGAGTGGTCTCTAATCCGTACATGTTCATTCTTCGATTGACTTGGAATCACAACTGCTACATATGGCACTGGCGACTTGTAGTTTAAAGAAGCATGATCACCACTTTCGTGCTGCGGAGAATGTTGAGATAGCTGTCTTTGAAGCAAATCTTTCTTACTCAGATCCAACAGGTAGTCAGATATTGATGTGTAGTTGTACAGATTTAGAAGAAATGGAGAAGTATTACCTGGAGACTTTTTGTTTAATGTCACATTTGTCTGTTTTGGATGTTGTGTAGCAATTGAACTGTCAGTGCTTTCAAATGCGTGGTCAAAAGGCGGCGGCCACAACGGATTCTGTTTTGTTCCCTCCATTTCATGTATCAGCTGTGCCAGTTTAGGTTTTGATGTTGAATGGATTGGTATAGGTGGATTGTCTGTAATATCCAGTCTATGTGTTGGCGGTTTGGAAGGCTCGGGGCTCTCAGTGCCTGATAAATCAGAAGGTTCCTCTGGACTGTCACTGGAATCATGTGAAATTTCTTGCTGTTCTTCCTTGAATTCAGTTTGTGGTTCTGATGTTTCTTTATGAATACTTGACCCAGATGAAGGCTTCTCAGATTTTCTGTCTGAGGTGACATGCCACTCATGTAACGGCTCAAACCCAGGGTCATCAAAATATTGTGGCCTGTTGTAGAAATGCTCTGGATGAGATGGCTTTGACTCCTTATTGTCTTGCTGCGTTGATGACCTAATAAAAGAGAAGTCCGGAATCTTGGGCAAACCCTTTTGTTCTCCTGCCGGAGTCCTATGAGAATCAAGCAAACCAAAGCTATATGGATTACTGTCTGCAAATGAATATTGGCTATTCCAGAAGTCCTCATCCCATGTCTGCAATGAAGGAGCAGGAATCTGATTGTGGTAATCACCTTCTTGGTGTTTCTTTTCCTTCCTGTCATCCTCCTCTTTGGGCACCTCATCCTCTTTCTGATCTGCAGTGTCCTTTTCATCACTTTCTTGTTTGGAATTATGCGCATGTTCCAGCTCAACATCTTCCTTTTCAGAACTTTCTTCTGTTGACTTCTGGTCTTGTTCTTGTTCTACTGTTTCTTCCTCATCGTCTTCTTGTCCAATGTTGTGTGTCAATGTATCTTTCTGTTTGGTATTCTCCGGTGGTTTTAAATGTGCTTCATTAAACATTTCTTCATCATCACTTTTGCTGGTGTCTTCTTTCTCTTTTCTTTGTGCTACATCACCCTCATGGCCTCCATTACGGTTCTCTTCTGAAACATCACGGCCATCTTGAGCACGCTCAAAACCTTTTATCTTGTCATATTCACTTTTCACATGTTCTTTACTCCATTCACGATCTCTGCCATGATCTTCAAGCTTACCAGCTGGATCATTCTTGAACTCATCTTCCTTTCTGTCATTCTTATTAACCTTCATGGTGTTAAATTGACCCTTAATGTAATGACCAATCCTCTCAAGGGACTCATTAACTTTATCATTTGAATGACCACTCCTGTGGTGATGATCACTTCTGTCACTATTGTGACCATTCTTACTACGATCAGAACCTCCTCTGCCACTGCTGTAGCCTCTTCCGAAGTAAAGTCTACTTCTGCCATCACCATTGCCATCCCTGTCATTCTCAGCATGCTTAGAGCCACTGTGGCGAAATCCATCGTCAACATCACTGTAATCACTCTTGTAATGGTGATCACTACTGCCATCGTTATTATGGCTTCCTGTCCTGTGTCTGGCATCGGGATGGCTCTTATCAATATCACCAGATTGTCTCACTGATGCAGTAGTTGTTCCTTCACGTTTTAAGCCCACGGCATCTGAAAGAGACACAAGCACTATCTGAGGTGGCGTAGCAGGAGATGGCTGTCCTGATGATTTAAGGTGTTGGGTGGGAGGAGATGTGGGTGGGTTTGGGGGTGTTGTGGAGGTCGGAGCGTTGTTTCGCTGTAGTCTGTATCCCAACATCTGAGCTAATCCATGAAGGATAAAATCTAAAGTTCTTTTATCACGAAATTTAGTATGCGGTGTGCCGTCCTCGATGCTGTGATCACTATACCCCCAATCGCTTTCAGCTGACAAGGTAACAGATGGGATGACTGTCAGCAAAGCGACGAGAAGCAAGAGACGATATACGTCCGCATACACCATGTTGATTAACTCAGATAAACACTTCACTTAACTGTCCCACAGAAATATAGATCACAACCATAACACATTATCTCTGTCCAAATCGACGAAATGGTTAAGGCGATGCCACACTAGAAATGCTGAGGTTTTCCCATATAAGCGAACTGAAGCCTGGCGCATGTAATTCGGCCTCTTTTATAGCCTCTGTTCGAGTTTCTAGTCAGCAATTTGTTGGCCGTACCGTTCCGCACCACCACCGTCCTACAAAAAGGCGAAACCACCGACCTGCAACCGGTGACACCGGCAATGTAAACGCTTTATCCTATCACATACCACCTCCAGTGATCTGTACTTACAATCGCTTAAGTCGGGTTAGACGGACGCAGATGCGTCTGTCTCTAATTTTGAAAGCACGTCATATTCTCGTATAATACGAATTCACGGCGGTGAGTCCCGAAAATGGATGTCTTCTGGGTTACAGCGCCGGGCAGTCTGGTAGAAGTTTACCTCGACGTTTCAAGACGCTTGTTGCATTCCAGCGATCGCCCAGAAGACAGCCATCTGCATGAATTCATTCCATCCCGTCACATCCATTATTCGACCGCGGGTTGGACAATCGGGGTTCGATTCCCGGCAGAGTGACGAATTTTTTCTGTTTGTCACCGCGACTGGACCGGCTTTGAAGCTGGCCACTGACTTTCATCTCGTACTAAGTGTGGAGCTATAACTTCGCTCCACCATACGTCTTCACACTGTGGTACTTAGTTAAGCAAACGGACAGTTTTACATTTGTCAGACATAGTTCTCCCAAGTGCCCCTTCTCTTCAGATACTTCGATTAACATTTCTTATGTCCAGGCAACAGAACATTGACAAACAGAAATCTTCCTATAATGTGCTCGTCCTCACATTAGTTATGCATTTCAAGCACGAAGTTCATGTAAATAACACGTAAAACTTCAGTCCCTACCGCGAAGATAATTCGTCTCCATTAAAAGGATCGATTTTATACTTCTGTTTAAGGAAATTATTGTTGTTTGCCCTGAGGATAATATAAAATCTTTAAATAAGTTATGTGGGAAAAACGTGAAGTTACTTAATGTTAAAACATGAGGTTCACTGTGCTTAAAAGAGTTAACAGAAATTATTATTGTCGAATAAATGCTGAGGCAGCATCTCCTAAATACGAGTCATTAGCGTTACCGCTTCAGCTAACCTACCCGGGCTTGTAATTAAACCGCGAAGCTCAAATTTTTACGCTGATTTCTTGATTTATGTAACAGAGCTCAACTGCATGTTATATAGCGCTGGTTGAGAAGACACAGGACAATTATGACTGGGGAGAAGAGAACGAAGTAGGAGGGACACTGCAGTGGCCGAATTTATTATATCACCCAGGCCTGGCGGGCCTAAGGAATACCACGAAAAGTCTGTGAGGATATCAGCCTCCGAATCGACTTGACTTCTCGTTTGTCAGGAGCTCAAAGATCTTGCAAGAACCGACTTCAACTTCCTTTCTAAGCTCCGTGTGACTTCTTCCTCTTCCCAAAGATGAAAATTCAGCTAAAGGGAAGGAGATTTGAGACGATAGAAGAGATTCAGGCAGAATCGCAGATGGTGCTTGGCAGACTGACAAAGAAAGATTTCCAGGGATGCTTCGAGGCTTGGCAGCGGCGCTGGGATCGTTGTGTTCACTCCCAGGGGAACTACTTCGAGGGTGATGGATGAATTTAATACCTGAGATAAGTGTACGGGTTTTTATTTATAGGCGCAGTCTTGAAACTTTCCGATCGCACCTCGTATATCAAGGACGTAGTAAAGAGATTTTATGCATCGATTACGTAAAAGTAACTATATTAAAGATACCGAAATATTCCCATTGCTACTACTATTACAGTATAATAAGCAGACGATAAAGACGAAATATATGGGAATAAAATTAATCAGTGTCAATTAACAGTAATCGGAAAAGTCCAAGGAGGCAAGAAATGTACAGTTTTTCGCATACCGATGATGCAAATCCCGAAGGAGAAAGTAACGACACCAAGTGGAAAGCCGCTGAAATCTGCACAGTGAATGGATACTTCGGCAATTTCTCGCGTTCTGAAGACTCACTGCTGGCGATCGTACAGCAGTTTTTATTGGTCTGCTCTGGAATCAGCGTACAGATAGATAGATAGCTGCTGGTGTAGCACTCCGCGAGTCAATGAACGCGACGTAAAGTAGTCCAAGGTCTCTTACACGTTACGTAAAGATGTTGTTTCACCTGAAGAGGATATATGATGTCGAAGGTGATTAAGAAAGCCAATATGGCGAGAATTAATGGCACAAGTTATATAAGTATTTCAAGGTACAACATTCCATTGGAAAAAACTGTCCATGAGGATAACCGGAATTCGAACCACGTATCTCCCGAACGCAAGACTAGACGACTCCGATATATGTCTGCAAACCTCCTTGGCTTAAAGACCTTGACACGACGTGATTTTAAAAGAATCTATTGGAAATCCCTGCCAGTGTTTCTAAACAGTGAATCAGCGCGAATCAGCTTGGCAATGACTGTCTATCCATCGAAGTGTCGATTTCTCTGCATCCGGTGCAATGCCGAGGAGAGAAGCAAACAAATGTTCGGAAACGGTTTTCTCAAAGAACAAACTAGTACTGTGATTACGTATGCGAGCGTCTATATGTTATGTGCAATTCGATGTTCCAACAGCCTCCACAATTTACATGCAGCAATTAAGAAATCGTCTGCTATTTGACAAGTTTTAATTAAAGCAGAGGGAGATTAACACACATAAAATGCTCAGCGTCCAAGGGTGATCGCAGAAGAGAGTAAAATAACCGAAAAATTAAAAACTAACTTCTGTACTGGATCAAATTAAGGTGTTTCAGTATTTCGTTCACGTGATAACCACAACTATGAGAGAAACTGTGGTTTAAGGCATGGGGATCAGGCAGTTAAGAGCCATAAGGGAGTAATATCGGTTCAAGACGACGACGGAACTGCTTAAAAGCATTTACGAAATTCATCTGACCTTTCTAAGTGTGAAATGATGAAGTTAAGTTGTGTCTTTCTTGAGGCATTCATCTGGAGAGTATAATAATTCCATATGAAGTCTGAGTAGTTCTGTTGTCGAGTTTGAAGCACGATGCATCTGACAAAATCGGCCGCTGTATTTATTTATTTATTTAGTGTTCTGTCTGACGACAGGTCCATATGAACAGGATCCTTCCATCCTTTTCTCGGACTGGGACCTGTTCATATACGTTCTTGGCAGATGATCCAGAAGTGGTTTGCCATTGCCTTCTTTTATTTATTTTAGTGTTCTGTCTGACGACAGGTCCATATGACCAGGATCCTTCCATCCTTTTCTCGGACTGGGACCTGTTCATATACGTTCTTGGCAGATGATCCCGAAGTGGTTTGCCATTGCCTTCTTCTGTGTGTAAATGGAGTAATTGTTGGGGTGCCACGGAGAAACCGGGGAAGCCCCCGGAGGAAAACTCCGTGTTGCCTAGACCACGGCCTTGCCCAACACAAGTTATAAATTCGGGCACCGCCGGGAATCGAACCCGAGACCCCAGGATTACAAGGCCACACACACGAGCGACAAACGTTCCAAAGAAGTTACGTTGGAAAAACATACTTTAGGCAAGATAAAAATACATTATTTTCCGTAAAACGTAAGGTTTCTATAAAATACACGAACTTCAAATTACGTTTCAAACGTTGCCTGTTACACCTTCGCGGATTCTTTGCAGAAAAACATTTGTGCGCGCAACAGAAACGAATAATGGAAAGAGAGGGTGCGCTTATCCGCAAGTTTCATCTCTGAAACTAATGAACGGAGAGATGAGAAATGCTAACAAAATTCTGGCTGGAAAACCTGAACGGAAAAGGCCACTCGGGAGGTCTAGGAGTAGATGGAAGGTTGAAATTAAAACGGACCTCAGGAAAACAGTGTGAGAAAATGTGGAAAGGTTTAATCTTCTTCGGGATAGGATCCAGTGCTGGGCTTTTGTGAATTCGGTAAATAACATCGCTTGACTACACGTGCCTATTATCAGCCTCTCATTAAAGTCTCCGCTCCACGAAGTCAGTTAAGTTATACGTGCAGAATGCATACTCTAAAGACGCAGAGCTACGTGCAGAATGCATACTCTAAAGACGTGCGTTGCAGGGGAACGCAGAGAAGTCTGAGGACAGGAACAGACGCTTTCAAAATGCAAAAGACGTCCCACGTTGCTTCACTGCGGATATTAGCAGAAGTCACGTTGCTGGGTGAAAGCTCTTCTTTATTACCGCTCTCGACATCCTGTCGGCGGCTCAGCTTACGACATCGGGAGGTCCACCTTTTGGCCAGTGTTCTTAAAGGCCCCCTTGGCCAGCGAGCAATCTTCATGTCATTACTGACTGGCAGGTCAGCTGGAAGTGTGGTCTGGGACCCGCTCAGCTTCTTAAATCCAATGGGCCCCTCGGGTTTCCGCAATTTGATTTAAATAAGTTCCTATATTCGACTTTTTGCAGAATCATGTACCCCTTAGTAAATATTTATTTATTTCAAAACTGAAGGTGAGCGATTAGAATTCTTAACTTGCATCCGGGAGGTCCAAAGACCAGTTACCCTGACTAAGAGGTTTCAGTTCCCGCAACGAAATGCCAGGATGCCGCCTCCAATAGACCACGGCCGCTTCCTACGAAACTCTTTCAATCAGCATTCACGTATCATCTTGCAACTGCACGATATATACAATAATCAGTTAAAAAAAGCGTTTTCGTTAAGTTAAAAATGAATTATGAAGCTGCCTTATCATGTCTCGCGTTTTATACATCGGACAGGCTTAGAGAACATACTTTTTTGAGAGAGAGAGATGTAGTATCTTGTCTACCCATCGTAAACTGTCCGAAGTTCTGTTTCTGTACATTTCATTTCATTTCAAAGTGCTAAAATCAACTACGATATAGGAAGACAGAGAGATATACACTTAACAACCACAGAGTATAGCTACCATTTCCTTTAAAAATGGATGCACTAAACCAGTGGTATTCAACCTGGGGTACGCGAAGACATCTTAGGGGGTACGTGAAATTTAAAAAATATATATATTATTTTATGATAAACACTGAATAATCAGTGACGTAATTTATTTAATTTATTTTAGATGTAGATTATATACTATGTATAACTTGAATTATACACCAACAACTTTGGGGGTACAAAGTTGAAGAGAAATTATATCTGGGGGTACGCGAACGAAAAAGGTTGAATACCACTGCACTAGACCATAACAGTCTTCGCCTGAACTGACTGGGTTATCCTACAGCACATTTCTGTCAAATCCATTTTAAAATTATCCTTCCACTTGCTTCTCTATATACCAAGTGACCATTTCTCCATCAAGTTTTCCTGCTAAAACGTTGTATCTATTTCTCATCTCCTTCGTGCGTGCTACATGTCGGACCCATGTAATCTTTCATTTACTCGCGAAGGGTGCAGTTCATCAGCTGTGAAGCACTTAAGGCTAAACGAGGTTGCCCAAGATCAATTAAAAGTGAAATCAAGTGTCGTGTGTGAGCATCTAATTGTCATTCAATAGGAATCGAATACTAAAACAAAATAAGAGCGAAAGTGAGGCTCTGTGTTTGCCGATGCACTGACATACAACAGTATAAATCTGACCCGAAGTGTCGGCCATGTTACCACACCAACTCGTCCACAGCATGAAGACACTGGTGAGTACAAAACAGTGCTGGGAGGTTCTGACAGGGATTCAGATATTCTACGTCGTCTATTACACAGTTTGTGTAACGTGTGTTGAGGTTCTGGTGCACATCGATCGGCGAATTCTAACTGGTTTAAACGATTGCAAAACCGATTTATTACCCTCAGAAAATAATGATTGGCTGTCGTGTGAAATTAACGCGCAGGATAATATTCGGACACGAGAAAGATATTGGCGTGAGATGAAGAAAATTGCTGAATGCAAACAGGGCGTACAGGATTGACGACAGAGATCAGAACGGGTAGCAATGGAATGGCAAATCCCGTTCCTGATCGCTGGAACAACGATACCTCACAACCTCCGGGTCTTCCTGGTACCAAAGCCCTCAGGGGAGAGGAAACAAGCCGATCTGCCACGGACATCCTCGCCGTTAACGCGGTAATATAAGTACCTGCAAGTGTTAGGCTACGTTTCTTTTCAATTTCATAACGGCAGCGTAGGCCTATGCGAATTTATGTGAGAAATATATTACAAATTATTGTCGGAAAACCTAAACGAATGTGGGATATACAGGCTTAGATCGGAGTATAATATTAAAACAGATATCAGAGAAATATGACGTAAGGCTTAGGATTGGGTCTAGTAGCGGGATGTTGCGAATACGGTAATGAACATTTGGATTCTATAAAAGGCATGGAATTCCTTGACTAGCTGAGAGACTATCAGTTTGTCAGGGAGGACCCCCGCTCCGGTATTTGTAAGGATGTACAAACATGGCTGATTTGGAAGGCGCAGTTCCGACTCGACCCAGACTGCATGCGAAGTTGAGTTGATCTCAGGCAAGTTTCCGTGTTTCAGACCCTGGTTCTGGCTCTGACTGTCACGTCAATGTGTCAACAGTTGCCATCAGATGTCAGCAAGGTGATCAGCAAACGAGGGCTGCTACATTACCCAGGATTGGCCTTCACACCTGCAACCGCCCTGGGTTACCCGAGCCTGAGTTCACACTATTTCCCTGGGTATACCAGTATCGCCTACCCGCGGTACGGACTTCGATACCCATATTCACCGACATTTCCGGCATACTATCCGGGACTTCCCATCTACGGGTGATACGTAACGCGGAACAATCCATATTGAGCTAAGGACAGCGTCGAATCTGCAGTCACCCCCAACCCCCACAAAAATGGATGAATGCGATCAATACAAATTGTAGAGAGAAAATGTGAAATCTGCTTTACACTTTGCCAATCCGATCAACTTCGCCACTAAAATCACCACAAGTTATATGCAATATCGGCCCTTAATAACATAAACCAACACGACAAATGCCATCATTACCAAATCCATGGCAAAAGAGTCCTTCTTGAGAAGCTACCTGTCGCAGAGCTAGTCAACAAATTCCACGTCTTTTATACAACACGAGGGTTCATTACCGTGTTCACAACACCTCGCTACCAGTCCCTATCCTGAGCCAGATAAACCCAGTTTACACCCTAACATCTTATTTTGTAATCTATTTTAATGAACCCCTCCCGTCTACGCTTACGTATTTTGAGTTTTTTCTTCCCTTAAGCTTTTCCCATCAATATTTTGTATGCATTTATCACTTCACCTATGCATTGAACGCCCAACCCATCCCATCACTCAAACAATGTTTGATGAAAAGTTCAAACAATGCAGTTCCTCCTTAGTGTAATTTTCTTCAGTCTCCTGCACCTGAAGATGGGAGTAAAACCAACTACCGAAACATAATACGTAATTTATATTTAATGTACTCCAGACAATACACCACGCCCATCATGGTCATAACAAAATTTTGGAGTATCCAAGAGCACAAGAATATTTAGCTAATTTCTTAACAGGCCTTACATCCCTTGGACAAAACAAAAGAAACAAATAAGTACACGACGAAATTTACAAGTAATATCTGATACTAAAGAGAACCGCTTAAAACTGTCCATTTATTTAAAAATACGAAAACTGGGAACCTGTAGAATGTCTGTAAAGTTTTCAGTTGATAAGTCAGTATCTGCCAAACTAAATGGAGCAACATCCCACTAGGCAACCGCCTTCAATATTCAGCATACCAATTGTAAACGAAAATATTCTAATTTTAAATGACATGTAATGTATGAAACGTGAATAATTTATTATTTCGGTGTAAAACATTATCAGAATATACAGACTAAAAAGAAAAAAAAAATATCGCTGCGGACAGGATTCGAACCTGTGCGGGCAAAGCCCATTGGATTTCGAGTCCAACTCCTTAACCACTCGGACACCGCAGCTCACAGCGAAAGACGGCCTTGTTACAACAGTAGAACGTAGGCTCGCACGACTGAGCAGCACATACGCGCATGTTCTCGAATGTTGTTACCTGTTTCCTCCTATTTTGTAGCGAAATGATGACCATCACGAATTAACAATCCCAAAACTATTTTTCTGCTCTCTTTTTTCTTCTGTAAACAACAGACATCCTTGGGCTACACGTTTACTGCAGATAAAAATGTACTGTTAATGGTAATGGACGTTGGAAATATTGTATTGCATAGAGATAAATATTTGATATTATATACTGAAACATTCTTTAAACAAAAGTTGTTTTCAATTTTGTCCAGTTTCCTTCCATAATTTATAATTATTATTGCAACGCTCTGGAAGTTACGTAACTGATTACTATCGTTAATATTTCCTCATGAGTTGCTAATTTTACATAAGTAGTAAAATGGACAGGTCCAAGAAATGAACATAACTGGGAATGTTTTATGTATTTTGTTCTTTTGTTAAAATAGTAGACATATAAAATGAAAGATAGGTGATCCTATGACACAAACCACTTAGATGGGTGCAAGAATATATTGAAATGCGACCAGAATAGATTTAGCTAAAAGACAGAAAATAAGTTTACTGTAGGGGGAAAAAGGCCCTGTACTAGAGCCTTTGGTGATCATGGAGAGAGATAGAGAGACACTGTGTGCTAAGAGATATTTTATGAATAATGTAATTAATACTTCAAAACGAGCAACTGTTGACCAACATGATAAATATGTGAAACCGAGCATGACTTTTACCGCTGTAATACATTTCGCAACAAATAATACATCAAGTTAACTACACAGTTTCACTATTTTCCTGTATTCACACACGGTATTGGAACCAAAGCACTGTAACAGGAAAGAGAAAGAAAGTTTTGATAATGACAGGTGGGCACCACCTAATTTACGATATTATGAAATTTTTCTACGGAGGCATAAAATTCAGTCATTTTCATGAACGAGTATTCCTCGGTTTTGTCAGTATCCGGTTCCTGTTTGATTAAACGTGATATGTACGTTAATTAATAAAACGCATAAACAGCTGACATTGTTAGAAATTGAGAAACCATAGTAGGCTCTATGTACAGTTTTAAAGGCACGTAATTCAGTGAATCAGTAATCAGAAACGTCAATACTTCGCCGACGGATCTGCACAGTGGCGCTGAGGGTGGCGACACTGGTAAATACTTTGCGATGGTGCTGCTATCTAGCAGACGAACAGCGCAGTATCTTACCATCACAAATGCAAAATAAACATACTAAACACTTATATTAATTCTATTCGATTGTTTAATTCAGTCATCAGGAATTTTTAACAAACATGCAGGAAACATCTTTAATGCAAAAATTAGTAGTTTTTGGTTAATGATTTCGTGACAGAACAGTACAGTAAATTAACAAAACAAAAATCCAAGAAATGATTTACAGGCCTATAAAGTCTTCTGCCAAGTGTTCTAGGAGACCTAGGCGGAGGGAATATTTTGAAAGTGGATCTCAAAGAAACATAATGTGAGATTGTGGATCATATTCAGTTGGCTCAGGAAAGGTTCCAGTGGCGGGTTCTTGTGAGCACGGCAATGATCATTCTGATTTAATTAAATGCGGGAAATTTCTTAATCGCTGAACTTCTCTGTTTTATGGAACTGGCTAGTTAACATGCAACTTCGTGAATTTGTGTTAAAATACATGGAAGCATAGGCGATCGACTTTATTCGTATGAAGTTAAGGACACACGCCTAAGTTTTCGTAGTTTCACTAACACCAGACGTGACATTTCGCGATGATACTTCGTGCACATTACGATATGTGTGAAGAATGGAAATATGACAACTACATTGAGAACAAACACGATTCTCTACCACGCCAGACAGCGGACGATTTTACGCAACTGTGCACAAAGCGAGACAATACGAAATTGTCTTTAGCCAACACACACACAACCTCCGATCAGAGAGCTTTGGCATTTTCTCAACCTTCAACAATCGGATCCACAGGCATGCCAACTACTGCAGACAATGTTATATTTCCCTAGCAAAGGGCACAAAGGAAAAGTCTTCGTTTATCGATACTACCAAATAACAAACGAAGCAAGAAATTGCACAGAGCAGAAACTAAGTCTCTCAGGCAGTCAAAAAATACCCTGCTCTTTATAGATCACGAAAGTTCAGTACCGTGTTAACAAAAGCTGCCACTGACCAATCAAATCCACACACTGAGAGCATCTTCCTATCTAGCCCTAGATCCCCTGAGCGATCTCTTTATATGGTTCCGTTAACAACAGGTAAGGAGAAAAAATTATTAAGCCCCTCGGTGTGTAATTTTAAACTTCCTGTTACGATACCAAATTTTATGACGCGGGGATGATAACAATGTACGTCTTCATATTCCTGAAGAACCATTGGATAAACAACAATGGACATTTTTGTCTCTGGTTGCGTATGCCATGCTGATTGTGGAATTAGAAATTCGGCTAATCCCAGCCAAAGGGAGAAGTTTTGTCGCCATATAAACGACTTCTAGACGCGCGGGTGGGAACAACATTTTAACTGGAGCTGTTTGCCAGTAAAGGAATTCGAAATGCCAATAAATGGGCTTGTGTTAGTTTTGGTAACCTGGTTAACAAGAATGTGAAGAAGGCGTGGGGAGAGAAATTCGCGAAACTACACCGGCGTCACATTCTAAGGCCACTTACGTTCTAAATACACGGAAACGTTTACGACACTCCGGTGGAACGGCCATGTGAACTCCAAAAATTCACGTGTGACACGAGCAACGATCGTGGCAGCAAGGGACACGTGTCTCTGCGCTTTCTCCACAAACCAGATGTTTCACGACGCACGGTTTCGTGGCCCCCTCGTCAAATTGTATGTAATACACTTAGGACCCATCGCGGGGACAGGGCGTATTGACGGACACTTCGTGGTTCTACTCAGCCCCTCTATGGATATTGTGAGCTCGGACCTGCGAACACGCCACAATCGCCTTGCCTGCCATTCATTCTAATTCACCCTTCATAACGATGTAACAGTTTTCAGCGTAGGTTTATGAAATGTCGTACAAAAAACTATAAATGACCTCTAATCTGACCACGGTCCATCTTCAGCCGAAATTTTGTATACAAGTGGGAGTATTTTAGCGACTGCAGGCGACAGGCTAGACAAATAATGTCACCATCATGATAGACACGGGAAAAGTGTAATGAGTAGGATATAATAAATAGATTTTTAGGATGATATATCACGACCTCCGACCTGCGTGAGCTTTCTCTGGTCAGTTGACCGTTACGTAACAACCGCGTGGCTACCGGAGCATACATATTGCGCGCGAGACCTTTTTCTATTTCACATGCTTCTCAGCATACAGATTAACTAGACAGACAAGCCAGCCCTGTGAACGGCAATCATAAGAATCCTGGTGTTTTTTTCCTCTCTATTTCCCCACAAGCCGGGGGGCAGAGCGTTCGGCGTTATCCAATTTTAGCCATTTTACACCGAAACACAGCAGAGACGGTCTGATAAAATGTATTGTTGGCCAGCTCTAGAGAGCCAGGTGTTCGAGTCGAACTACCTGACGCCACCTCGTCGAGGCGTAAGCCATAACCCGATGGCTCGTGGACCCTGCGTCATTCTTAGGACTACTGACAGAAAGACCACACGGGGATTCACTATGAGGGACGAACGTAATGCAGTTGTTAATAACCTCAGACAAACGCGAGCATAATGCAAACAATGAGAAACCACTTTTGAACTGAATTTCGTAAAGCTCGTGATGTGATCAAACTTCTTTGTTGAAGATTGGTATCAACAATGTGATTAGGACCTGCAGTCCTCCCAATTAATAAAATCTGCATATTAATCTAACAGTTTGTTGCCCAACGTGAAAGATAAGGTATAATGATGCTTCATCATCCTTTCTCAAGGCGTGAAACTTTGTTAAATGTCAGCAAGATGACGCAAACCGAATAAGAAGTTCTATTACATGTGTCGAAGACAGTTTGTTACAACAATGATCGTGACTGTGTCCCAGCTCTGACAATGTGGACACACAAAAGGCAAAGATCTCACCGAATTCCGACAACACTTAATATCGGCGTTACCACAGACCTCAGCACGTTTAAGTCCACAACCGAACATTCCAACAGTTTCAAATTCATAACCATCTGACAACTCTAACAAGTAAAACGAGTCCCTGTCCATTCTCCTTGATCTGATAACAACGACAATACAGTACGCTACATAACCTGTAAAATCAAAAGTGCAAATAAACATCACGTGTATAAATGGGTAATATTGAAATGAATGTTAGATAAAATGGCTGCGAGTATAGGGATTGCTGCCTACTGGATTGTTGCGCCGTGTAGTCTGGCAGAAGTTTATCGACGTTTCAGTTTAAAACTTAAAAAAAACACGTAAGAAATTTACCGACTGGGTACCTCATCCGCATTCTTGAGCCTGTATCTGCTGGAGACACACGGAAGTGTTCTCTATTTCCTAGCGACGGGCAAACCAGACATTTTAAGTCAGTAGAGAGGCAATGAACAATGTTTGAATCCCAAGTAAGCAGTTTGCTTGGAAAAATGATGTCTGAAGTGAGTGTTATGTTTTATTAGACGTTAAACGAGAGAAGAAAAATTCATACTTTCATTTTTTTTGGAAATGTGAAAAATTCTACGTAGACCCTACTTATTACAACACGAATTTTTATTTCAAAATTAAAATTCCTTGACGCACGCCTCCCCGGCATTGTTGCCACGATAATGTCCTCACAGTATTACCACACTCAACATGTTCAACATATCCTGTTGCTATGGGAACCACTGTTAAGGGTGTTAGCAAACGCGAGAGGAAAAACTGGGCCATGTTTCTATTACACTACACGTATTGGACAATACTACAAACGCGTTCAATTCTAGCTACTTACTTATTTAACGACGCTGTATTACGAGGTCTGACAACCGGACTGACTATAAAACTATTTTTACTGACCAGCGCATTCTAACATCAGCCACTGTGTCCCTTTTATTTATTATTTAGTGTTCTGTCTGACGACAGGTCCATATGAACAGGATCCTTCCATCCTTTCCTCGGACTGGGACCTGTTCATATACGTTCTTGGCAGATGATCCAGAAGTGGTTTGCCATTGCCTTCTTCTGTGTGTGAATGGGATGCCACGGAGAAACCGGGGAAGCCCCCGGAGGAAAACTCCGTGTTGCCTAGACCACGGCCTTGCCCAACACAAGTTATAAATTCGGGCACCGCCGGGAATCGAACCCGAGACCCCA